AATTAATGAAACATGGACAGTGGCCACAAATTAATAAGTCGTAGGAACGAATTAACAAGTTGTAGGAATGAATCCTTCCCCCGCAGTGTCCCGCAGCCCTGCAACCTTCACCTAATTGTTTCAAATATGAAACAATTATCTGGGGAAATGACTGTTACTACATTTCTATTGCATTCCATGTTGAAGAACTTTGTGTTGTTTCTATTTTAATGTACTTTTAAAGTTTAAATCACATTAAAAGCTTAATTTGTACATTATGAGTGAATGATGATGCATTTATATACCGTCACCGTCACTCACAGCCGCTCGCACGTATTTTGCGCATGAGCCGCACGCAGCCCAAAATTAAATAGCTTAATCGACCATCGATAGCTTTAATCGATTGCATCTCTTATCGACAATTAATCGATCATCGATTAATCGTTGACATCCCTAATAGTCCCTAATCAGTGACGTAAGTGTACGCTGATTGGCCAAACGCATGCGAAACACCAGCCACCCGGCATTTTTAAAAAGCCATGTTAACATGGAACATGGAAAACTGCGATAACGTTATTTACCTGTTGTCTGCAGTGTTGTGTTCTTTTCTCAGCTTCGATGATATGTAACACTGCAAGTTGTCATAAAAAATTAGTCTCTTAGCCCAACTTTTTGCTCTTGAAATCGCGTAAATCGTGCTTTTACATTTCCATCTCCATTATAAAAAGACATCGCAAGTTGTCATAAAAAAATGTGTCTCTTAGCCCAACTTTTTGCTCTTGCAATCGCGTAAATTGTGCGTTTACATCTCCATCTCCATTATAAAAAGACATGGTTGTCGGCCGCTTCAGAGTTCCTGCTGCCGGTGTAAATGCAACCAGGAAAACGGCCCGAGGGAGAAATTGGTTCTCTAGGAACTACCCTGCTGGCTAGTTCCTAGAACTACGTTGTGCGAAAGCCCCTAATGTGTTTTCTCACCAGAGTCCTCATGGAGAGACGGAACCGGCCTCCTTCTCCTGGACGTATGAGGAGATAAAGGAGGTTCACAAGCGCTGGTGGCAGCTCAGAGACAATGCTATGGAGATCTTCCTCACCAACGGCAGGACGCTGCTGCTCGCGTTTGATACCACCAAGGTAACGACATCACTGTCAAACACATGAGCGTTAGCTGCTGAATGATTTATTAAATGCAATTCAGTAAATTCCAATGTCAATTCTGCCCAACTCTAACTTCCTGTTGATCCACTCTCTGGTCTCCGTCTCAGTACCGTGACGACGTCTACCACAACATCCTGAGCTCAGAGCTGCCCAACCTGCTGGAGTACGGGAACATCTCTGCCCTCACGCACCTGTGGAGCTCAGGACAGATAACCAACTTCGAGTACCTCACCCACCTCAACAAGCACGCGGGCCGCTCCTTCAACGACCTCATGCAGTATTCCGTCTTCCCCTTCATCCTGCGAGACTACACCAGTGAGACGCTGGACCTGCAGGACACCTCCATTTACAGGCCAGAACCAAAATGATTACTTTATTTGTGTGGTGTTTCTCGGTAATGATAGCCTGATATATACCTGATGTTTATTAGTTCCATTCTTTTTTTCATTATTTGATATTCAAATAATATAAAATATTATAAAAAACTGATACATATAATATTTTAGATTTTGTTTTATTTTTTCACCACATATAAATATTTAATATTTAAAATATCTAAAATATGATTAAAAAATTGTAAACACACACACACATATATATGGTTAAACTAGTACATATCTCCATTCTATTTCATAGTTGTGATGACTTGTGCGTTAATGAGTGTGTATATACTGTAGATTTATATATAGACATAAATTAAATTATCATTATATTCAGGGTTTGAAATTAACATTTTCACTCACCAGCCAATTTGGCTACTAAATGTTTAAGTTACCGGCCATGCATAACTTCTACTAGGAAAAAAAAAAAAGACAGAAATAAACCAACAGTTTAAGGCTGTCTACACTGGGCGTGACAAAGCAACCGTTGCAAATCATTTTGTGTCAGTACTCTCAATATTTTCTGGGATTTTATCGATAAAGATAATTAGACGATATTTTGCTGAGTGTGTTATTGTGCTGATATCTTAAGGACTACTGTGGACAGCTGACTCCTAAAGTTTTTGATATATTTCA